AAAGGTTGAAGTTTAAGGAAAACCCAATCCCCAACTGAAAAAACTCACTTAGACCTGTGCTTATCTACTTGTTGTTTCATTCGACGCTGGGATTAAACCAGATGCTCTTTCAACAACTTCAAAATAGCATCTCGATCTTGCAATAGAGTATCAGCAGTTGCCACAGTAGTAGGGTTCTTGAAACACATCAGCATAATCATGTAAGATTCTATCAAGATCCGAATGAACCTCGTGGTCAACTTCAGCATAATTGGAATGTAGGCTGCAAAAGTGAGCTATGATTCCCTGTGGTTTTTTCTGCATCAATTTCTTCATTTCCTTAACTTCAATTTGTTGTATCTCCACTATTGCACCACCTCGCAACACATGTTTTTTGCCAAATGCGGTGAATTCCATCTTCAAATTCTGGAAATCCCATAACACCGGTCCCAACGTAGATAACCACTGGACTCCAAATACCATGTCACAATCCCCAAAGGTAATAATCTGATGTCAGCTGTAAAAGTTGTACCCTGCATAACCCATTGGAAATCCTTCACCATAGCATTGCTTTGTAACTTGGTACTATCAGCTACTACCACTGTTAAAGGATTGGTGAATTGGATTGATGCTCCAGTTCGTTTTGCCATTACTGGGTCCAAAAAATTGTGGGTACTACCAGAATCAATTAATATAGTGACCATATTCTTCTTAACCTTTCCCTTAATTCTCATAGTCTTATAAGAGAAAGAACCTGATAGGGCATGAACTAAGATTTGCAATTCTTTTTGCACATTTTCTTTGTCCATGTCCTGTGCCACATCCTCAAAGATATCTTCCTCATCCTCAACTTCGAGTATAAAGAGTTGCTTCTTCTTGCAAACATGGCCTCTAAAATATCTCTCGTCACATTCATAACATAATCCTTTCATTCTTCTCTGCTCCAATTCCTTCTGTGTCATTTTCTTTACAGCAATTACTGACTCCACAGGTTTTGGAGCTGGCTCCATTGATTTACTACTTGTAAGGAAACTGGTATTATAAATTTTTGTTCTTGGCTAAGGCCTCAATTTTGTCTTCCTGTAACCTTGCTAAACCCATGGCTTGTGACACATTTCTTGGTCTAAACATCTGTACTTCTGCCTTGATTTCATCTTTCAAGCCACTCACAAAACAACTAACAAAGAATTCTTTTGATAACCCATTTGTTTTATTAGCCAATTCTTCGAATTTCCCCTGGTAGATTTGGAGCGTTGATATCTATCTCAATTTTGATAGTTGTCCCATAGCATCATCAATTAGGTTATCTCCAAATCTATCAACCAAGGCCCCAACAAATTCCCTCCAAGATTTGAGAACATGCGTCTTTTAATACCATCGAAACCAATGCATAGCCCTATCCTCCATGTGTATTGAAGCCAATCGCATTTTTTGCGTTTCATCGATCGAATTAAATTCGAAAAACTTCTCACATCTATATACCCAGGCCTCAAGGTCTTCATCGAAAAATTTTGGGAAATCCAATTTGGCAAATCTAGTGTGCCACTGATGTGGATTATTGATGGGTTCTTGTATAGGAATGATCGGAGGAACCGAAGAAGAAGAACTCACATTTTTTGCAATTTGCTCATACTTCAGGTTTAAAGCTAAAACCAAATCCTTGATTCCAGCCATGGCTTTGGCCTGTTTATCCGAGCTTTCTTTAAGATGCCGAATAGCATCCTCAATTTGTCTGATATCTTGAGATCGTGTACCGTTCACCATTACTGAAGTGGTTTGCCCCAAGTCCGAAGAACGGTGGCTCTGATACCACTGATAAACTTCTAGTTAGAAACGAAAACTCAGCTTTTGTTATTCAATTCTCATCAAACGAAAGGAAAAACTCTTCCATGGAGTTTTACAACAAGAGAGAAAAAGAAAAATAAGCGAAAGAAGACATACAACCACCACCCTCTATCTGTAACTCCCTCTCCTCTTATAATCCCTTTTTCCCGTAACAAATCCTATAACAGAATAACTGCCTAACAGAACAAATCCTATCACCACCCCTATTATATTCTTTGCTCTTAGTAGCATTCTGCCACCTAGCTTCAATAGACTCAAGCAAATGCATAACTTTCTTCCTCCATCCCCTCATAAGGCACCTCCATAAACCTATTAAAGCTTTTTCATGCCCATTCTAAAAATTTTAGTTGTTTACACTTCACTAAGAGAATCCAAGGCCCTAGAGTAAGGACTCTCTAGACCCCTAGCCCCTGTTTCATGATCAACACTTATCCCCAACCACTGTCATCGGTGATGATATCAAAAGTCTTGAGCCCTAGTTGGAACAATCATTTTTCTCTTACTATCCTCTCTTCTGTTTCTCTACATTTTGTGTCTGGGTCCTCTAGAGTTGCTTTCTCTAGAGTGATCCTGCAATAGATCAAAATGCCACTATTTTGATATGAAATGACATTGTTTTGAAGTTTAAAAAAAAATGTGTTTGCAAGAAAAGACTGAGAAAGAGAGAGCGATAGAAAGTGGAGCGCCCCACTCTACCGCTGGCTGATGCACTCCCATCACCATCGCTATCACCATAACCTTCATCGCCACCACAGATAAGACTGCTAGCACCAGAAAAGAGGAACACTACCGCTCTCCTATCTCTCTCTCTCTCTCTCTCTCTCTCTTTCTTCCTTCTTTTTCACCTCACTTTGTCTCTCTACCCTCTCATGACTCTCTCTCTCTCTATCTCTCTCTCTCTTCTTTAACTCATTCACTAGATTGATCAATGCTGGGGACAATGACGGCAGAGAAAGGGGCTGGGAAGGTAGATGGGGTTTGGCATTGCAAAAGTGGTGGTGGTGGGTTGGGGATGGAGGCGATGGAGGTGGTGGCATAGAGGAAAGGGTAGGCGAGTATTAGGCTTGCGATTATCGCAATGAGTGTTGCGGGTGAACTCCACCTTCTTCTCTCTCTTTGTGTTCTTTTCTTTTTCTTTTCTTTTTTAACTTAATCAAAACGGCATCATTTTGATCTATTGCAAAATCACTCTAGACAAAACAACTCTATAAAGGATTTGAATACGCGCTCTCCTGCATCATTTAGTTATATTCTTCTTCTTCTTCTTCTTCCTTTTCTCCTTCCTTTTTTTTTTTTTTTAAAGCTTCATTTTGTTATATCTTCAAAGATATGGAAAATGCAAGCCCATTCCCAAGTTCAAAAGGACCATTTTTTAGTTGTTCATGACATCCTAATTCAAGACTTAACTTTATTCTTTACTCTTTATTTTAATTTATGTTTTTTGGGACAAGTCTCCCTAAATCAATAATCAATATTATAAAGTTGTTGATTTCTTGCGTTTTCATTATACTGTCATATCCAGTTTTCATTTCTGAACATTTTTAATTATTCAGTTTATGTTTTGGATCTGTTAAAGCCTTTTCAATTAATCCCTTGTATGTATGTATGTATATTGGGTTACAGTGGAGGATGCACTAGCAACATCCCTACTTCATTCCATGCCTTGTCTGAGAAACAGATGAAAGAACCCAATTTACAATAAGTCACTTGCATTTAAGCCAGAGTATCGGCAAATGTGAATATGTTCGCTTTCTTATTTTTTTTTCTTTTTGTTTTTTGTTTTTTGTTTTTTTAATTTTAATCACAAATTGATGTCCATAATGTTTTATGTGATTCTATGATTTATTTCTACGTGTACATATGCTCCATCCAGAACACGGGCGGGTCACCTCTAATATTGAATTTTTTTTTGTTTTGTTATGGGCATGATATCAATGCCGAAACAATTAAACTGCTGTTTGTGTTGTATCCGATTACCAATGACCATAAGTTTGGCTAGGGAATCATCCAATTAACCAGAGCAGAACAGGGTGCTAAGTATCAGAACAAGACTCCTTGGCACTACAATCTCAGTGTAAGAGGCTTTTCACAGCTGGTGTTCTTGCTCTTCCTACTTTCAACAACCATTTTTTGGTCCCCAACCGTCACCGCCAGCACCATTCAATTCAAATACCTTGATACACATTCAGTTTGAAAATTTAAAGACATAATTGCCACAATTGAAAAAGGGAAACTAAAAGTGCAACTTCTTCCAACAATTCCACAACAAAACTAGATGGTGTGCACTCAAATTTGGGATCAAAACAACGATTGTGTACGATTAAACTAGAATTGCAACCTCATCCAACAATCAATTTTATACCCTTAACCACGATCTTATCATATTAGCGGCAGAGCAGAGGGCAAAAATATCAAAACTAAATTGTCTGAACAGAAGGGTTAGCAGAGGTAAGAGAATCTGTAAAATTTGTAAGATCAAAGATTTTAAGTGTTTTATAAAAAATAGAGAGAGTAATGAGCAGCCAGTATCGAACTCCCCTTGCGTATCGGAAGTCAAGGACACGGGCAGCCAGTGAATATAAGCGAAATTACCGCGGTCGTGCACCTTTTAAAGCGGTATGTAATTCCACAACAAAACCAGATGGGATGCACTCAAATTTGTGGTCACAACACCAATTGTCTCCAAAAGTGTACGAGAAAAAGGCATTCTCTCTCAACACAATTCCTTGTTTCCAGTGTCACGCACTCGTAATCCAGTCCAACCATCCATGCATTTAGCCATTTTCCTAGTCAAAGGAACTAAATGAGCTAAAAGAAGCTAAATTTTTACCTTTCTTCTGGAGGGGGTTAGGAAAATAACAAAATGAATATATATACATGTTTATTAGGCACCCCAAAAAATAAAAAAGAAAAGAAAAATCGATTAATTACTCATAATTTTTTTTAAAAAAAAATATGCAACTAACTTTTTCAAAAAATATGTAACTTTTTTCTTTTTGACAAATTCAAAATCCAAACACAACCTAATAGTTCAAGCTTCAAAGGCTGAACTCAACTCTCTTCCACATTATCATCCATCTTACCTCACCTCAATAAGCTTGAATTCAGTTGTGATAGCATATAAATATATATATATATATATATAGAGAGAGAGAGAGAGAGAGAGAGCACTCCCATTAGATAAGAAGCTTTCTTCCAATTAAATTGCATTTTAAGGAAAAAAAATATATAAATCAGAACATCATCACATATGTTATCCACCTTGGAAGGAAGAAAGAGAGAACAATTGCCAGAGTGAATTGAGAATAATCCAGACCTCATATACATTTTAGGGAGAGGACGGACTGAAGACTACAAGGCCTACCATCAGGAAAACATCAGCTCTTCACGCTCCCGAAGAATCTAGAAAGTGGCAAAGGCCCACCAGCCTTTTCATCATCACTGCTGCTAGAGTGCTTAGATCTTGACCTGTGCTTCTTTTCCTTCTTCCTTTTCTTGGACCTTGATTTCGATGTTCTTGATTCTCTCTCTTCATTGCCACTACTTGAAGATTCTGAGGAACTTGATTCAAAAGACCGCCTCGAATGCTGCAAACAGTAATTATAATCTTTAAAACATGTTTCCTAGACCACCCCAGAAATATGGTCCAAATGCTAGTGTTGTTGGCTGAGGTTTAATAAAATCATCAAACTGATAACTTCCTTCCCTTCCAAAATAAGGACAATCCCGAAACAATAATAACAGCTTTATCATACCTGATCAAAATTATACAGTTCACAGAATCCAATTTTGTTTCACAATAATCGAAATAAAAATAATACTAAAATCACAATTTTCCTAATCCAGTTGCAAGCTTTAAAATCGTAATGAAAATAGAAGGAACCAAAACCATTTTATTTCATATCCAAGCACCCTTTCCACTGCTGGCACCCATTCAGATGTATCAATTTCCACACCATAATTAATCTGAGAGGGGACATCCTAACTAGGAAGTGTAGATGCCAAAAAAAAAAGAGAGAGATTTTATAATTTATATATACTGATGACAATGAAGTGTAATTCGGGCTGAAGATCTTCCTGCAAGAGAAACCCTTTTTCCATTGGACTCATGATGGGGACCAAAGAGGAGTCAATCTTCGCACATTTTTTAGTCAGAGGACAAGATTTAGTTAGATTTTAGTTTACTTGTGAATTTTAATTTCACTAGGATTTAATTCTATATTTTGTTTTCATATTGGATCATGCTTATACATCTGTCTAGCAACTAAGAAGAAATATATGATACACTATGAAGAAAAAGCCGATATGACACCTAAAATAATCCAAACATAACATGGCAGAGATGCAACAAAAATTAAATATATGTTTTCTATGTAAATAGTAAGAAGTAATTTATAAACAAATTGTGAACAAAAAGTCCTAATATCTATTTTAAAAAGCTCTATTTATAAACAAAATAGAAGTTTCGGGATTTAGAACTCCTAAAATTAAAAAGTTTAAAGGAGGAATTAATAGGCATAAACCCACACTGTTTTATTACTTTCTTTTTCAAACTTGCAATGTGTTTCATGTGCTATTTTAACCAAGTGTCCATAGCGTGTACCATATGAAAATTAATTGGACACGTTTGAACAAATCTGACGTGCTGGGGAGTATTTGCCGAAACAAAGTGTTCGTGCTTCTTAGTCTATACTGTGTGTCTGTCTGTGTATTGAACCATTACAGTTATTTTGGCATAATTAATTACAAGAAAGAGTTCAAATATTCTCCCCCTCTCTGGATTTTTCTCTCCTCTCCTTTTTCTCTTCTATGGTTCTACACCAACTCATTACGTCTGGGCAAGTTACCAGGTGTTTACTGATCAGGGCATATCAGATCTGAAGGCAACTCTTTCCAGTTTCAAAAGGTAGAAATAAAAACTAATTGCACGACCCGAGTCCACAAGGTAAACTTCGACATTCTCATTATTGCCTATATAAAGCTATAGAAGGAACAATATAAGTATGAACAGCTTCCACCAAATATTTCTCAGGTAATCAATGTGAGAAACAAAAGTTCCTTTCTACTGACCATAAGATTAATTAGTTTCAACTGGAGGTTCACAAAACCATTCTTCCCAACAAAAATGCTAATAAACAAATTAAATATGGTTCTGGATTAGCATTCCTCAAGTTACTTGTGTGCCTTATTTTTCTTTTATTTGTTTCTCTAGAAAGGACAAGAAAACAAATGTAAATAACATAAGGAATTTAGGCACCTTTCTCTTTTTGCTGCTGCGTTTCTTCAAATCCTTATACTTGTCTGCGAGAACGCATTTACTTTCATAAGAGAGCTACATACAACATTAAGAAGGGAAAAAGAGAGAAGAAAAAAAACAAAAAAATCTTAAAACTTTTTTCTCCCAATATTTTTCTATAATTACCCTTTTTATGATTAGATTTACTGCTCGAGTGATTTCGTCCTCTGGCCAGCTTGATAGCCCTTTCAGCATCTAGCTGAGCCCTGTACTCTCTCATCATTTTATCTTTATCTGCTTCCAATTCCCCCTTTCTCATTTCATCTTCCTAGCAAATGAAGTCCATAATAGAATTTAACAAAAATATCATAAGACTGAAGCTTAAGTTAAAATGAGCATTGAATTTAAACCAAAAAACTAGCATGTAGACAAAGTGGTGTGTTAACACTTGCTAAAAATATAAATATGACAAAGTTGTTATTGAAGAATATAAGCCAAAGTAAAATCTAAAACAAGGAAAAAGAAATAGCATGAGAAAAAATTGAAGATATCACCATGTTTGGATGAAGTTGGAAGTTGGAACACTAATGTTTAATTATCCTCAGGAAATAAAAAAGAAAATAATTTTAACAACTCACAATAAGTACAGCTCAAGTGTTCATAGGGTTTCTCAATCACAAGAATATTTAATTAGGTAGACATAAGATCCAAGTATTGGCTGAAAATCAAAATTTTCAAAAGGTGAATGCAACTCAAATTTGTTCAAGCAGTACACACCATGCATTTTTTAATGCAAAAATAGGCACTTACCAAAAAAAAAAAAAAAGAGCAAAAATATGCAAGTATGAATACACAAGCAATAGGAAGAAAGAATGAACGGTTGAGAGATCAATCCCTAACTATGAAGAACGGAATCTTCTAGAAAGGAGTTGTATTCATATTGTATACCAACACTTATCAGATACTAGCAGAAAAATATCCAATACTTCCTAAATGTATTTATAATTTAAAATTTGATTAATTACATGGACCTCCCTTGTGATTCCTCATATTACATTGACCTTCCCTGTCAGAATTGTTGGCTAACAAGGATTAACTGCAAATATGTAATTATCCTTTTGCCATTTTACAAAACCAAATTTCCATTAAATAATATATAATGTTTTTAATACCTATAACCAAAAACTCATATACCCTATGAAGCACGACCGCTCCAAACAGGTGTTGTAGCATTGTTGGGTGCAGGGAACACGGGACATGCCAACTAGTGTCTCTGTTTATTTAAATTAAATTTGTTTACTGGGAACATGTCGGGGACTTTCCCCCTCTTCATTAGTACTTCTGATAGATATTGGGTGTTGAATGTTTATTACTTTATGCTTAGACTGTAGTAAACTAATGATGCATTGGATGATAAATTTTGTCTTAAGTTAACTATTATCATATTTTACGGATGATCTATTAATTAATTAAATCTGGTATTTTTTTTTTTCTTGACATTGAATTAGTGTTAGATTTTGTTAATTTTAATTGTTTGCGTACGTAATATTAATTTACATAGCAAATAAAAATACATATAAAAATATTTCTTTTTTCTCATTGTTTGTATCTTCATTTTTTTGAAATCACCGTGTTTGTGTTTGTGTCTATGTCTGTGTTCGTGTTCATGTTCATGCTTCTTAACATATACCTATAACCAAACATCCCTCCTCTCCACCCATCTCCATCTCATACACTCTTCTCTCTATTATAACTTTTCTTCAAGCCCCTTATAAGGCAACACTCGTGTAATGGGGTTATACATATGATCTGAGAGGACAGATACGAACAAGGTGATTTAAAAAAATGGGGACACAAACACAAGAAGGACATGGCAATAAAAAATATTTTCTTTTTATATATTTTTAGTTGCTATGTAGATTAATTACATCCACAATCAAAATAAACAAAAACAAACACTAATTCAATATAAAAAAGAACTCGACTCTTAAGTTAACTCCTTATTGTTTATATCTTTTTTATGGATGATCTATTAATTTTTTAAATTTAAGCAAACAAGTAATAAACATTTAACATCCAACATCCGTCAAAAGCACTATAAAGAAGAGAAGACAAAAGACTAGTTGGTAGCAAGTGTTTGAATGTAGTTAACTTCGTGGGGAAAGAGAGAGATAGGGTTCTGTTTGATCCTGCTAGGGGCAATATGGAGGTTGTAGAGAGTAAGGATCTTGAGGAGTTGACAGCGCCATTATGCTGTTCTCCACTAGCTGTGGCAGGTCTTGGAGAAGAAGAGGTAGGAGCTTGATGTCTGCAGACTAAGATGCTCTGGAAGGAGGCTTAGAGAGGAGGAAGTATCAGACTGGGTGCTCTGTAGTATCAAGGATGGCAGTACATTTTTAGGGATCTCTTTTGAAGCATAGGAGGTGGCCGATTAGCTTTGTGGGGACAGAGTAAGATTAGACTTCATCTGATCATGCTTGGAGCAACAGGCGAGCTTGGTGTCTACAAACCAAGATACTCTGGAAAAGAGGGTTAGGGAAGAGGAAGTATTAGACTAGGCTCTTACAAGTATCAAGAATGGTAAAAGATTTTTAGGGGTCTCCTTTGAAGTGTAGAAGAAGGTAGCTATGAAATTGTTCACTGGCTGTTAAAATACAATTTTTTATAATCATTGAAAATTAAAAGTTCAAGTTTATTAAATTTAATATGACCCTAAGATGCCATAAGGCTATTTAATATGACGACCTCAAATTAATTCACTAATGACCATAGCCACCCAATATAAATTGTGACAATAAAATGGCCTCAATTATTTTTAGTTTGGTCAAGTAAAATCCAGTAATCCAGACATGTCAATTGGGTTTATGATGACAAAAGTGCTCGCTGGAAAGTAACTAGTGAAATAAATAAAATAAAATCTGAAGTTGTAGGAGGTGGTCCCAAAGTTATTCCATGGTAGTTACTGGACAAGCCACATTTTGGAAAGAAAACAATTTTCAAATTAATATGTGCGTATATATATAAATCAGAAAGGGGGTTTCTTTGGAACAACCCAGAAACAAAAAATACCAAGTGAGGTTATGTACTACAACTACCCATGATTGGGTACCAGCTATTCAACTTTGAAAGATGAAGCAACTTTTAAAAACTAGCCACAGACGTGGGAGAGGTTTTCTTCAACCACCATGTACTAGCAACATGGGAAACCACCTCACTTTCTCTGTTTATACGAACAACCCATGCACACAAGGAAGGGGGGGATCAGTTCATAAAGAGGTAAAGAGGATACACAGTGGAGAGAAAGAAGGAGAAGAATACAGAAAACAAACAGAGTCGGAGGGATATTGCAGCAGAAGAGAAAGGTGAGAGGTACAGAGAGCAGTTCGACAATCGAACTGAAGAACAAAATACAGAATTGAGGGAAGGTATAACAGTTCTACTCTCTCTCTCTCTCTCTCTTTCTCTCACACACACACACACAAAATCGTTGTTCACTGTTCACAGTAAAAAAAATCTGTTTGGAACAGATTTTCTCTTCCCATCTCTTTCTTTCGCTCTCACATTTAAAAATTTTAATTCTCTTCGCGCAACTTTTCGCAAGATAAATCGGTTTTGAAAGAAAATTAAGAAAATTCAGTTTTGTCATCTTCATTTTTTGTTTCCCACAAACCTCTCATTCACTGTTTAGAGCATAGTTTTGCTATTCTATCTTCCTTTCATTATCACTATCACACTCGTGTAAAAAATCAGTGTTATCATAATGGATTACAAAAATTCTGTTGCTATGTAAAATCAGATTTTCAGTTGGTTTCATTCTAACAAAAAATTTCCTATTTTGTTCAAGTATATCACTATAACATCTGTATCAAATCACATTTATGAGTGTATCTAAATAAAACAGAATTGCAAAATTAAACTTGGTCTTAAAAAAAAAAATTTGTTTAAGCATGTCACATCACACCCGTGTCGAAAACTGGTGTGAATGATTTTACATGAATAAAAAATAAACTTTCAATCGATGAAGCACAGATACGGGTACGAGTACTGGTACTGGTACGATATAAGTACGTTGATACGGTAAAATCCAAAAGAAGTAGGGTACAAGTACAACTTGGTACGTTTGCAAAAAATATTTATTTAAATTTTGAGTAATGCAAAAATTGATTAAGTAGTTTAATTTGTTAGATCTAACCTACAATTAACATTTAATGTCAAAAGTAAAGGTATAAACCAAAATTAAATGTCATTATTGTAAATAACTTACAAACCATAGCTTAATTTTAAAATCTTGCTAAGCATAAAACTAAAAATAAAAAAGAATAGTCAAATGAATTTTATCTCTGTAGTAGAAGAAAATATTGTTTTGACTGAGGTACAATACGGCTTGGATATATACTAGATACCCCTAAGTAAGCCAAAAACTAAGAAGAAAAAATTTGAGAATGTGTTTCGTATACCTAGTACATATGTAGAAATACCATACGAAGTATCATACGTCGGTAAGTATCCAATATGAGTATAACAAGTTTTTCAAAGTACCTATGCTTCATAGCTTTCAATTGAATCACTTCACACCCGTGCCAAAAACTAGTGTAAGTGATGTTACACTGTTTTAGATAGAACTCACCCCAAAAGCTAGCTCAAAAGGTGAGGATGCCCTCAAGCTTATATGCTTAATATTTGTGGGACTTCGCTTCACACCCTCCCTCATGCCCAGTGTGCTCACTCGGCAACACCTGTAGTGTGCAAGCCAGGGACACGCACCCTACCCATCCCCATGTACTTCGGCTTTGATACCATGTTACACAGTCTAGGGTAGCATTAAAATGGCAGGTCAAGTGGCCTAAAAATGCTTTGCCTTCCACGGCATAAAAATGGCATGTCCAACGGCCCAAATTTTCTTCACCATTCATGGCATTTAAAATGGCCCAGCAAGCGGTCCAAAAATAAAATGTAATTGATGGCGTTAAAATGGGCCCACTCAGTGCTCCAAATTACATTGTCTTTTATGCATAGAAAAAGGCCCACCAAGTAGCTCAAAAGTACATCTTTTATGGCATAAAATTCAAGTTTCGTAAGGCCCAAGTTAAATCTTTTCAAGACCATAAAAAATAACTAAGGGCCTAAAATTTATTATCAAGGTAATCTTTTTTTTTTTTTTTTGATAACTGGTGTTTGGACCAACATGCATGCACCTCAACTAATCTCAGGGCCTTGAAGTTAATGACCAGATAAACCTCCAGTAGCCCCTTGGGTGACTCAAATCGAGACCTCGGATTTGATCTTCAAGTCTTTACTGCTCGGCCAACTCCTTGGGGTTTATTATGAATGTAATCTTGCCATCTTAAATATAGCTTCACTTAAAAGTTACGGACAGAATTAAATTGATTAAAAATAACTTCGGCAACCTTTTGCCTTGTCAAAATAAAATCAAATATTGGATCATTCATCCTTTCAATTTCAAACCCAAATTCTTTTTATGAACTGCATTGACTTGATAATGATCCAAACTTGTTCGTGATTCAGCTACATAGGCAACCCACAATCACAACAATTTGTGAACCTCTAAAGTTCACCAAAATCAAATTCAAAATCAAAACCTAAATTCCATTCTATGAATTATGGTTGACTAGATTCCAATTCAGACTTGTTCCTTGATTCGGATATATAGGCAACCCATTCAATTGGGTACAATCACAAACTCTTTGAACCCAAACGTTCACTAAAAATCAAATTTTCTCAAAATCAAAATCAAACCTCAAATTCATTCTTGAAATGCAGTTGACTTGATTCCGATTCGAACTTGTTCCCTAATTTGGATGTGCATAGGCCACCCATTCCGATGGGTGCATTCATAATCTAATCTTTATGAACCCAAATATTCACTCAAATTAAATTCGGGTCATTCACCATTCAAATTGAAATCCAAATTTCTTTTTATAAACTGCATTGACTTGATTGTGTATCGAATTAGTTCCCTGATTCAAATACGTAGACAACCCATTCCATTGGATGCAATCACAACAATTTATGAGCCTCAAAAGTTCACCAAAAATCCTCTAAACAAATTTCATTTTAAGAACCATGGCCAACTTGATTTTGATTCAGACTCATTACCTAACTCGGATACATAGGCAACCCATTCCATTGGGTGCAGTTACAAAACTCCATAAACCCGAACGTTCATTAAAAATCAAAATTTCCAAAAAGTAAAATGCCAAATTCCTTCTCGAACTATGTTTGATTTGATTCCTATTTGAACTTGTTTCCCGACACAAATATGTAGGCAACCTAGATGATTAATTTGGACCACTCACTAAAATAAAATAAATAAATAATTTCACTAGTTCTTTGACAAGGAACTTGTGATATTCAAAAGTTGGAATCAAAGGGTATTCCCTTGAAACAAGGGATTGTAATTAAGGGATGTGTTATATCTTGAATGGATCCAACCTACATAATAAGAACTTATGTGATATATTGTCACGTGAGTGAAATTGTGTTAAAATAAACATCAAATTTTTGCTTCACACTAGCATTGAAAAAAATAAATATGGAGAAGAATGAATCAATCAGTGGTAAAGGAGAGGTGCAAACTTCAATTCTAGAAAATAAAGGGAACTTAAGAACGTGTCGTGCACTATAAATTATGTCAAATGTAAGCGGTTGTGTCTAGCAGAAGTCATTTTACATGGACTCTTCTAAATGCATGAAATACCTATGTCAAGGGCTCGACACTAGGGGTGAGGTTATGGATGTGTTTGATGTGTAGTTGGACAATGGGCATTTGCCTAGCAAGCATATTTAGTAATTGGAGTTTACCTTAAAATAATACATAAAACTCTCATATTATACACAAAATGTTATATGCCACCTTGTGAATAACCCTAAAAAAATTAAATTACTAAATGTGAATATTTTGTTGTTTTTCAGTGCCCTTGGATATTGGAATTAGATGAATTGGACACTTAGACACATACTCGTAACCAATGCTCGTGCTCGAGTCAATGTAACATAGCGGGAAAGAAGTGGGTGGGCAAAATAAGGGAGTATCATTATGCCATAATGCAACTAAAAATTGTCTCCATGAATATAAGGAGCTTGAATGACCCTAAGAAAAGAGCAGGTATTAGTAATTTAATTTTTAGTCTTTAAGAAGGTGGAGGAAATCATGTGAAAGCCCTCCGCCGCCTAGCCCCCATGGAAATTCTCCACCATATCCCCCTTCCCACTCTTTTCTAACATCCAACAAGAAGCCTCAGTCACTGTAATAAAACTGAAGAAATGCACAGCTTAATCCACTAGACAAAAAACATTTATGTCCCATGATACTCTCCGATTTTAACAGGCAGCCAACTCATTGCTTGAGGAACATGGTCTTGCACTTGATGTTCAACTTCCAAAAAGATAATGCAAACTGTGTTACATGGACTCTTCTATTTCTCCCACTGTACCCGTGTCCACCAGATATGACATGGGTAAGGGTGTGGAATATGAGTGACACTTGCACTCAATTTTGACACCCAGATCCTATAATTTGTGACAATACATGAAGAAAAAGAAACTCACATTTATTAGTAAAGCAATATTTTTAGCTTCTCACATGAATTATAATGTTCCTGAATCTTATTTAATTTCTTGTATATTTCGACATAATTTACAACATCTCATCCGAGAATATTATCTAATACACAATATATATGTGCATATGATGTGTCGCCGTACCCATATCCAAATTTGGATATGTATCCCAAGATCCAAGATTTAAATTTATGAAGGTCTAACGTTTGGATACACACCTACACCCGCACCCAATACTCGTACCCGAGCCCATGTAACATAGAATGCAAAAACAATACAGTTCACTTTTTTGTTGTTTTGATGTCCCATCAATGAATTGAAATGATATTACAGTATCCTCAAAGGCATCATGTAATTCTGCTGAACAGAATTTTGAGATTTTCTTTCATTCTTTTCCAAATAATACATGTTACAATGCAACATGGACAAATTTAATAGCTCTGAAAACATTAAAAATCCAACAAGCCAGATCCTAACAAGTTGCAATTGGCAAAGTAAGATATGAAATATTCATTTTAAAATAAAATATTAATCATGTTCATTGCAACTTTTCCACAAATAGTTCAGAGTTTGGGAAACAATATTCATGTTGAAGAATAAGAAGAGGGATTTGTAGCATACACATCAGTAATTGTGTACAACAGATTACCTTTTGCTTCCTTTTGAATTCTTCCCAAGTAACTGTGTGAGAAGTTTCGAGGCTGGCCAAACGAGCAGCATGCCACTCTGGTGAATGAAAAGAACCATCCACCTGCGACAATCCTAATCAGAAAAAGTACAGCAGAGAAAGCACCTACGCTATGACTATATTAGTTATCCAATTAAACTCCCTCATCAAGCGGAACTAGCAACAAAAGCCAGCAATTAGAGAAGCTGGCAAACAAAATAGGTGAGTCAAACATAGTTTAAATGCTAGACCAAATAAGATATTGCTCTAAAACATCACAAACAGACAGTATTTAGGAGAACAAAGCTTGCTCCAATCACAAAGGGCAAAATATTGGAAGCAATAATTAACCAAAAAAGGAAGTCACTAGTATAATACCTATATTTATTTTGTTGAGGATCATCCAAAAATAAATCAATAAAATGAAAGAGAAAGAAACTATTGAGGTTTGTGATTATGTTACTCTCCATATATTGTCTCGAATTAAAAAAATAAGCAAGCATCTAACCGCACTTAACTAGTTTTTTCTCACTACAACAAGTACCAATATCCATAATAATATAGGTATAACACTGATTTGTGTGTCAATTTGAGGTGCACTATTAGGGAATGCTCTATGTGAGCTCCTATCTTCAATTAATTAAAATAGAGAAAGAATGGGTTCCTTGCCAAGTAAATTTGATATGTGAATACAAAATTTAAAGTGACAATTTCTTGTGGATTTCTAATCAACCTCCTGGTCGTACTAGCCCGAGGTCTACGTAAATTAGAACCTCCTTCTCAATTAGCTTTGTCTATGAACTAAAACAATAATGGTTCAGCTATAGCAGCCCGGGGGAGCCAAGCCCCTCACCCAGCAGCTCCACTAAGTGTTCATCCAATCACAATTCGCTCATCATGCCCTTTTTTGTACATGTAAGTGAAGTGAGAAGGAGAACCTACGAATTGTCTAACACGAGAAATTGACAAGATATTTTGTTGATTCTTGCATCTGTCCAATCAAAAATCATTATAACTTCTTTGTAGGTTGAAGGAAAGAAGTCGAGGTATGTCAAATCCGTTGTGGAGGTGGCTTTTCTTGTATGTCATTGACTTCTATAGGGTTGACTACTTCACCTTTTGATTAACGATAAGCCAACAGTTTCCCTTTTGTCGCAAATTATTGGAAAATTGTTGAAATGGAATAGATGGAACCTATGAAAAACAAATACTTCAAAAAGGAATCGTATCCGTATCAAATATCCGTGCTCCTTGGATACTCGTAGATATATATCATTAGATACTTTACTTCCTAAACTTAACCATAATTTGAAATTAATTTTCTCCAATTTTGAGAATTATTGGATATAATCAAAGGTATGACTGCATATTCTTGTGAACCAAAACTAAAAGGAGATACTTTAATTTTTGTTCTATCAATCCCAACAGAATAGGGAAATCTGCAATGGTAACTTCAAGACAACTGGTCTGCTCAGGAATTAACATATGATTATGGTTGCATTGTCAGTGAGTAGACCAATGGTGGTTTCCACTCTTGTCATTTCAAATTGTAAATGTGAATAAATTTGGGAAGCAAGGATCTTAAACCATGCCTAGTTTCAGGCATGCAACGGAAATGGTGCACAAGATGCATTGTGCAAAGTGGATAATGGTTTATGGTTTCGAGTATCACTCGATCCCAAAAGAAGAGGTGCCACTCAAGATATACAGTGCTTCTTTTAAAATTCTTTGGCCCAATGAACTTATATTAAACTAAAGACTATGATTACTTTTTGTTGACACTCATCATCAATTAGCAATACAAGAAATATACTAAACCTAAATTCCATTGCATTTATCTGAGAGAGCACTGCTTTCTTTAAAAGGAAAATTGGACATTTAAGTAAAGATATTTGAGTCAACAAACTCAAGACTTGATGAGATTCTTGATAGTTTAGAAGATCTGGGGATCATGAATAGGTCAACATGCTTTGCCATTTACTCATTAAAAAACTGCATACATAAGGGCTGCTCCTTTCAAGATTTTCAGTGCTATATATATATAACTTGAGATAAAAACAATGGTGTGGTTCCTGCTTTGCGGTGTCGCGCTCTCCGTTTCATCAACACTTATCAGTGTTCCTCAATAACTTCAGATATCACAACTTTAGACCAATTGAAAACTGTCATTTGGGCATTATATCAAGATATTTGAGCCAACAAAGTCAAGATTTGTAAAGAAGGTCACCAACCATCAGGGTTAATAAATCTGGAGTTTTGATTAGGTCATGCAAAGACCATTTCAATATGGTCACCAACCACCAGCAATATTACATGACTAGATCAAAATTTAAGCTTGGCCATTAACATCACGATTGTCACTAAACACCAAACAGATAAGAAAACTTAAAAATTAAAGAGAACAGATAATATTTTAGCAAACAATCAAAAAAAAAAAATCAAATAGTGGATGATATCAAGATTAAAGAGATCATAAATTGAATTAGGAAGAGGTGGTAGTATGAAAGGGTACAAACCATGCCGTCTTCGATCTCATCGTGGCCCGTTGAGCTCGCACCGAGCCTCGCTCTCTGCATAGCTTTGTATTGTTGATTTTTCCCCATGTTTTGGAGGAAACCCAGATAAGAAAATTGCCGAGAAAGTTCAAGAAAAGCAGAGGGAAAAATGGAAGACAATTTTTAAAATTGGGTTATCAAATTAGCGGGCGAGAAAACCCATTGAAAATAGTTGAGAGAGAGAGAGAAAGAGAGAGAGAGGATTTATGGAGTGGTTGGGAATGGATTTTGTGACCAAAAACAACATCCACAGAGAGAAGCATTAGGGCAATGGAGTGGAAGAAAATGATATGAAAGCCGACGCTTTAACCCGATTTGTAAAGCCGAGTGAGCTGTAATTAAGAAAGGTGAAATTTCAAAACAATGGGACATCCAAAAAAATATATATACAAAGTATAAGTAATTCTGTAATGAGCATGTGTGTGTGAAAAAAAAAATTCGTTCACTGGCATGTAATTCCCCCATTAAGAAAACAGTATGTCAAAGTCTAAAAATTTGAACTAATTATGTGGCACTCTAAGTTAATTATTTCTGATTTATTATCTAATTATCAACCAATTAATAGTTACTTTATTTTTTTGAAATTACATTGTCCTTTCTTGTGACTAAAAAGCATTAATGTCAAGGTTAGTCACAGGAGAGGTCAGTATAATTTTAGAAAAATAAGGGAAGACCAATGTAATTGTTAGAAATCTCAAAACTACAAATGTTATCACTCGCATATGATACACATAAAATGGTGTGTATTTTAGAATAAACTATTGTTATGACAAATGTAATGCTCAAAAATAATAAGAACAACCCACTTCATGATATTCAATGGAAAATCATAAACTTACATAATATTAACATTTTATTTATTTTGTTTTACTATACAAAAAATGACATATACATGTATACATTCATTAATCTTAAATTGTAAATATATAGCATATGACATGTAGTAATTACATGAAACAAAAGAAAGTTTAAATAAATTAATGTCTTAATAGCTACATCTGTTCAAGTTGGTACTTGGAAATAACAAAATGAGTTAAACTCCATACATATAAAACCCAAGACTTGTACAACAAATATTTACGCAAAAGAACATAGAGAATCTCTCGGCTTTAAGGTTTTCCCAAGCTACTTTATTAGTTGAGGCATATCATTAGCACCTGAAAGTTGTTTTTCCACATAGGGTGAGCTAAAAACCCAGTAGAGATACTTGAACACAATGTATAAAATTTAACGAAGTCATATAGAGAATGCATATGCATGTCGTTTAACAAAATGTTACACTTTCCCTTTCAAAATAATGTTATGCCATAGTTAATAACCAATTCATAAAACAATACTTTTTAAATAAGAAAACAAGGCAGTGGATACAAAGCACTAGAAATCTCTAGGTACGTGTCTGCCAGTAGGCTATACAAGCACTACCAAAGCCATTTTACCGGTACTAACCGGAAAGATCGGCACTTAACCGCGTTGGTTTCTAGACTTTACCACGGTATTCACCCATTTTTTTCTCAAAAACAATACATTTTCAATGTAAGGATATAAAACAATATTCAATGCAAAATATATGAGTAAATGGTTTTCATTTAACCTATTCCTCATGCATTTTGTATAACAATCAAAGTTATCCTCCACCGATAGCCCAAAACAAATATCTCTATACAAAAAATAAACCTCCAACAACAATTAAAATTTTAAAATATCAAAATGGGAGTGATAATATATCTAGTTCCACTCTCATCATCAATAGATACATCATTTTATCTTTTCAAAACCCAACATTCATAAGTCAAATACTAATCACCATGTTTGTTTCCAATTTTTTGAAAACACTTTTAAGAAAATTCTACTTTCTTGTTTTCCATATTTTTATATTTTTACTGAATTTTTTTAATATTTTAAGTAATTTTTTAAATTTTTAGACACACATAACATAAATACACTTAAAAAGGATAATTTTCATGAAAAAAATCTTTAAAAAATTCATTAAACACCAAAAATACAAAAAAAAAAAAAACGAAAGTTCGGTATATTTTTCATATTTTTGTGTATTTATACCTTTTTAAAATATTTTTTTTTCACAAATATTTTACTTTTCAGATATATCTAAGTAAGGTGCATTTAAAAAAGTAAAAATAATGTTTAAAATTTTAAAAATATTTACTAAAAACAAAAAAAAAAGCACGAAAAACAAAAACTCAGTTTTCAAAAAACTAAAACCAAACACACTAAATGATTTCTAATAAAACATCATTTACTTTCAAAAACCCAATTTAAGGAGAATTTTCTAATATTTCAATACAATTCAACAATATTCCCACAACCTTTCTCAAGAACCCACTCGAAAATCCCTTTTTTACATTTTAAAAACCAAACCCTAAATCAAATCCCGAACTCCCAAATCACAATACTTTACAAGGAGCGCATAACGAAGCTAAGAATCATATAAAGAGGTTGAAAAAGTACCTACCTTAAGAGTAGAAGAAGGAGAGAGTAAGCCCAACTCTAGACGAAGTCAAAAATAGAAGTTTCACTGATTAAAATGTTTACCTTTACGAGCTCTACACTTTACTCCAAAGCACTTGGGTGCCAAGATCAATGGATTTGGGTGTATTTGAGGTATTTAGACAATAACTAGGGAGAGAGAATGAAGAAATTAGGTTTGGAGGTGTTTTAGAGAGAGAGAGAGAGAGGGTAAAAAGTGACAAAAAATGGTTTTTCCTCGATCTGATATACGCACAAACCACTCAAGCGACCAAAACATGGCTTGAGTGCACAATAACCCCCTCTCAAAAGTTCAAACTTGCAAGAGACCGCTCGAGCGAAGATCACCCTACTCCTAGTAGTTTTGCAGACCTGCAAAAATATTAAAAGGAACCAAAGGCCGCTCAAGCGAAGAAAAGACTGCTCAAGCGAACCTGAAGAAAAACAGACACGAACTTCTTTGAAAAATGAATTCCTAACCTATTCACAAAACAACTGAACGACTCCATACAACCAAACCCAACAACAACCAGACAATAAGGATTATAAACAACAAACATAGTCACTAGAACCTGGATCAAAAAGTACGAAAGGGTCAGGTTTAAACCCTAGCCGCTATAATCTTCCCCTATAAGAAATTTCGTCCCCGCAAGTTAAATCAAACAATAATCACCGCAATATAATCCCATTGACAATCCATACTAGTAACAATGATTAAACCATATTATCCAACACAAAATATTACAATTATTTAAATCTCCAAAACACTTACAATGTTTACATGCTACAACATAATTGAAATTTTAGTATATGGACTTAAAAACCAACAAACAAGTCCAGATACTTCTTACGGACTTCAGCCTCACGTTTCCAAGTCGTCTCCTCGACTCCATGATGTCGCTACAACACCTTAACTAATGGAATGGTCTTGTCCCTAAAGACTTGACCCCGAGAATCTAAAACCTGCATCAGTCACTCTTCAAACGAGACATCCTCATCTACTTCTAACTCAGTCCAATCCAACATGTGTGAAGGATTAGGTTCATACTTTCAGAGCATACAGATATGAAACACATCATGAACCTCGAAAAGTTGGGGTAACAAGGCCAAATAGTAAGCTAGCCCCCCAATTCGCTCTAAAATCTCAAAAGGCCCAATGAACCTAGAAGACAACTTCTCACTCTTCCAAAATCTCATTAAACCCACCTCGGTGAGATCTTAAGAAACATGTGATCCCCCATCTCAAAAGACAAAGGTTTCCTCCTGCGGTCAGCATATCTTTTCTAACGACTTTTAGTCGAAACTAATCTTTTACGGATAAGTGCAACCTTTTCTGTCGTTTCTCGAACCAATTCCGGACCTAACACAAGAGCGTCACCCACATCTGCTCAACATACAAGAGATCTACACGGTCAGCCATACAGGGCCTTAAAAAGTGTCATACTAATACTCGTCTGAAAACTATAATTATAAGAAAATTTCATCAAAGGCAAATGTCTCTACTATTACTCCTTAAAATCGAGAATGTAAGTTTGAATCATGTCCTCTAAAATCTGAATGGTATGTTCCGATTACCCGTTAATCTAAGGATGATAGGTGGTACTAAAAGTCAACTTAGTGCTCAAGGCACCTTGTAGGCTCTGCCACAATCGAGCTGTAAAACGCGGATCCCTATTTGAGACAATTGTCACCAAGACCCTGTGAAGTCGCACTATATCTCTAACATACAGATCGATAAGGTAGTCTACTGAGTCACTTGTGTACATAGGTATAAAGTGTGCAAATTTGGTTAACTGGTCAACTACTACCGCATGGCATCATTACCCCGTTGAGTCCTCGGAAGACCTAAAACAAAATCCATCGTGATATGCTTCCACTTCCACTCAGCTATAGGTAAGGGTTGTAACAAACCCGCTGGTCGCTAGCGCTCGACCTTGTTGACAAATAAGACATCTCAAAACAACAAGGCCACATCTCTCTTCATCCCTTTCTACCAAAAATGACAACTAAGGTCGTAATACATTTTCGTGCCTCCCGGGTGTACTGTAAGGCGCGAATGGTGAAACTCTCAAAGTACCTCCTTTCTACAAGATTCTAGCACGAAAAGGCAGTCTAGATATCTCACACTTGAATCTGAATGAATGTTCAAACCCTTCTTTACTTTACCACTGGAGATCTTTCCTCGGATAGCCTCTACTTTGTGATCACACTATTGTGCCTCTATAACTTGGCTAACTAAGGTAGGTTGTGCAACTGCAATAAATAAAGTGGCCAACACAACGGACTCACCAAGGTGCAAGTCAAATTCGCCAATGGCACCCAACGTCTCCTACTCCAAGATGGCAATACTTGCTACTCTACTCACGGATTTCCTACTCAAAGCGTCGGCCACTACATTAGTCTTCCCTAGATGATAATGCAACTTAAAATCATAATTCTCTATAAACTCCATCCATTTGCCTCTTCCTCAAATTCAAGTCCTTTTGTGAGAATAGATATTAAGACTCTTGTGATCAAAAAACACTTCAAATCTCTTCCCATACAAATAATGTCTCTAGATTTTTAAGGCAAATATCACTGTCGCTAACTCTAAATCCTATGTAGGATAGTTTCTCTTGTGTGTTTTCAACTACCTTGAACCATAGGCTATCACTTTCCCTTTCTACATCAATACACAATCCAAACCTTCCTACGTAACAAAAAATCGAATAACTTAAACCCCACTTCCGGATAATCAAAACTAGAGCAGTAGTAAGTCTAACCTTAAGCTCTTGAAATGA